TAAGTTGTCATAATGAGTTATCTGAAGAGCATTTTTCTAAACATTAAACGTTACATATAAAGACTATTGAATAAAATGAAATCTCATGTAAGATAGAAATTTAGAAAGAGATCAGTGATTGGCAGAGGCTGGAGGAGGGGGTTGATTACAAAGGGGCCTGAGAGAATTGGGATGGGGAGGTGATAGAACTGTTCCATGTCTTGATTATGGTGGTGGTTACCTGAATGTATGCATTTGTCAAAACCCATAGAACTGCACACTTAAAAAGGGTGAATTTTAAAATATGTAAATTATGATTCAATAAGAAAGAGAGGGAAGTTCCGATCAGAAAACAAATTAAAATAATTACACTGAGTTCCATAGAAACACGGGTGAATGTAGAGGGCGTGGTAGTAGGGGTATATGTTACTTTTTTAGAGGTAGTGTGCTGTAGTGGTTAAGAACATAGCCGTTAGAGCCAGAGGGCCTGAGTTCACCCCGTAAATTACAAAATTCTGTGTTGCCTCAGTTTCCTAATCTGTCAATTGAGATAAAAGCAGCAACTACGTCAAGGGGCTATTGTTAGGATTAAACAAGACAACGACAAAACAGAAGAATGCGCACTGAAAATGTAAGGCTTTGCAAAAGGAGAGTCTCTGATGTTTTCTTTTCTCTCACCTCACACTTGGTGAGGTCATCCTCGTCTCCGCTGAAAAATAGTCTTCATCACAAAACCCCCACACGTAACTCTGCCCAGCCTGCCATGTCAGGCAGCCACTGCTGAGTAAACGCTCTGGAATAAACCTCAGAGAGAGAATAAATCACCTCTCATGCCATGCTCCCTCCAGGTGAGGACTGAGGTCATTGCAAGAGGCATAACAAACAGTCGACATAATGTGCCAAACTAATAGATTCTATAAGGAAAACTAAATGGAAAATTTTTCTTGAGAGCTAGGCACCTCTGGCTGAAGAGATAGTCGAGCCAGTGTTATTATAGATGTAGTTAAATCAATAATACTTTTTCATTCATTTCTTTTTCATTTCACAAAAATGCCTATTTTAACCAGCAAAGAGGTTATTGAGGGCAATTTTTCATGCTCACATGGATTATATTCTGGGACACATCACTCTTCTATATAGCCCCATTTCTGCTTTTTTTTCTCTCAGAAATGTATTCAATTCTCTTCCAGCAGCGTGAATTCATCTGGAAAGCTATGACAATCAATTAAGTAAATGAGAAAATAGAATGCTTATAATTATGATAAGTTACTGTATACGAAACTCACCCTCTTAGGTCTAATACCCACCCATCTTTAAGCAATATATTAATTGGCTTTGGGTAATTGTTACAATTAGAACCTAGCTTTTATAATTTTTAAAAATCGCTCTGAGAGAGAAAAAAGAAGTATTTAAAAAATATATGCAGCCGTTGGTTTTTAACGTAATTCATTATCACGACTACATTGTCATTTCCTTGGCTGCATGGGGACAATTCCAGTATGCTTTATTGATGTGACTTCTCATTTACAACTGGAGGAATTTTGTATATAGCACCTTTTTCAGATGTTTCCCTGTTTCTATAAGTCAGAGGTTGGCAAAATTTTCCTGTAGAGGACCAGATAATAAATACTTTAAACTTTGCAGGTCAAGAAGCAAGGTTGAAAATATGAAAGTACTTGTATAACAAGAAACACATTTCCACAGTTTCTGTGTTGATGGAATTCAAAATATAATAAAATAAGAATTGAGTACTTTTTTTTTTTTTTTTTTTACAATACACATCTACTAATGAGAGAGTGGAATTCTTACTGTTAGGATAACATTTTGCTTCATTGGGGTTCAATGTTAGCATGCCCTACCATGAAGTCATTGCAAGTATTCATCCTGAAGCTATTCTTAGCTCCTGGGCAGCAGGCTAGATGTGGTTTACAGAGTGTAGTTTGCCAACTCCTGCTCTTGATCAGTGTTCTCTCTAGTGTGCATCAGAAGCACCCAAAGGATTGGTTAAAATAGATTGCTGAGCCGCACCTCCAAGTTTCTGGTGGGGCTCAAGAATTTGCATATCTAACAAGTTCCCACATGACGCTGATGCTCCTGGTTTGGGGACACACTTTTAGAACATTGCTCTTGATGTTGGTCCTTTTAAGAAGTCACATTGAATACGAATCCATATGTTTTATATTTTCATCATTTACTCACATATTCAGCTTACCTGATAGACTTTACCTTTTAGAATTCCTAAGTAAAGTGGTAGTAATTCCAAAGTTAAATTTCCATTAAAAAGTGAAGACCAATTTAGCTAGAGCAGGATTGATAAGAAAATGAACTTTTCTGGGCCGGCCCTGTGGCTTGGTGGTTAAGTGTGCGCGCTGCGATGCTGGTGGCCCGGGTTCGGATCCCGGTTGCGCATCGAGGCACCGCTTCTCCGTTCATCCTGAGGCCGAGTCCCACATACAGCAACTAGAAGGATGTGCAGCTACGACACACAACTATCCACTGGGGCTTTGGGGGAAAAATAAAATAAATAAAATCTTTAAAAAAAAAAAAAAGAAAATGAACTTTTGTCTATTAAATAGCTATCAGTTTCTTGCTTACAAACTCAGGCGTCAGCCATCAGCATCTACTTGTCTGCTGTAAAGAATGCCTGAACAGGGGACTGGCCCCGTGGCGTAGTGGTTAAGTGTGTGCGCTCCGCTTCTGGCGGCCTGGGGTTTGGATCTCATGTGCACTGATGCACCCCTTGTCAGGCCATGCTGTGGCGGCGTCCCGCAAAAAGTAGAGGAAGATCAGCACGGATGTTAGCTCAGGGCCAGTCTTCTTTAGCAAAAAAAAAGAGGAGGATTGGCATGGATGGTAGCTCAGGGCTGATCTTCCTCACACACACACACACACACAAAAAGAATGCCTGAACAGCATTCTTCCAATCCGATCAAACTTTTAAAATAGTATGCAATATTCCAAAGGATATATGAAGGTGAAACATAAAAATGACAGTTTTGCCTTAGATTTAACATGTCTTAATTCACCAAGCATGTTATCAATATAATGCCCCCTGGACTGGAATTTGTTGGCATGTTTAACCCATAGAATTTAACACAGAGACTTTCCTGAGGCTGCCAAGGGGTCAGGGAGATACCTCTTTCCTAAATCCTGGAGGACCCCATGGTCTACCAGGCCAAATCATCTCTAAGGTGACTGTTAAGTCATGTTGGGCTCTCGTAGATGAGCTCTGAATGTTTGCACTATTACCTATGTTGGGGTTGTGGAGAAGGTTAATGACAAACGACAGGGCATTGGCTCATTTTAATGATCACATCTCGCCAAAGAGATTCTTTCAGAAAAGAAGCAAAGTGGAAAATACGTTCTCCTTCTGTTTATTTGTCCCAATGGTTTAAAAAATCAGCTTTATGGAACTATAATCTTCCTCATGACAGATGGGCTTATACATCAGCATCGTTTCAATCAACAGTTTACATTTCAAGAGGAAGGCGAAGAAACTGACATCTTCAGCATCTGCTTGTCATTTTTCAGTTTTATAACATTGATACAAAAAATAGTATTCTGATTAGCAGCTTGACTGGCAGCCCGTGTAACCCTAAATGGCACCACAAACCTGGAGAATGCACGTTTACAGACAATTACGTTTGGCGAAATAGTATGTACAATTTTGACAAATAAATACATAAATACAATCATTCATATATCACGATATACCTAAATGTCAATTATCATCAACAAGCATTTCTGGTAAATTACTTCTTCTTTCATTCACAAGTTATCTTGTTGCTTATAAAAACTATTTTCACCTTTACAGAAGAAATGACATAATCAATTCCCCCACTAAACCCACATATTAGGAAAGGTAGAAAATGAATCCCAGATGTTTTACATAAATATTCCATTGTCTTTTGATAGTAGAGATTTGATTGAAAAACTCCTTCCTTGGCTTCTCTGTAAAGAGTTTGTTTTCCTCATATCATGTCACTCGAAGGGGTTTTGTTCTTCTGAATTTAATCCAAATCGAAAATGATCTTCATTTTTTGATTCTAGTTATCTAAAAATACAATATGATATATTGAAACTGGCATTTGCTCCAATATAAGAAGACACAAAGCCACACAAACTAGCCACCAAAGGTAAAACTTTTCTTTCCAAAAATGAATTTAAAAAAGAAATTTTAATAATACAGACACTGATTGTTGATTTCTTTTGTTATTCAACGCATAATGAACAAAACAGGTTGGAGGACAGTCAGAAAGTTTTGTAAAAATTGTCTGAATGACTCCTGGTACAATATTGTCTGAACCATTATTTTATGTCAGAGAAATGATAAAAATAAAAAAAAACCAGCTTAAGAAATAATTGAAACCATAGTCTGGCCAGTGTCGTAAAATTAACAAAAGTAGAAAATTAGAGCTTTTTCTTCATCACTTGAGTTAAACATCTTTTGAACATTCAAAAAACGAAGGGCAAACATGCTGTAGGCTATTGAAACACTGGACGAATGGCCTTGCCTCACCAAGCTCCATGCAGAAGAAAATGTCCCATAGCAAGCAGATTCTAGCTACACATACAGTCAGGGAGAAGAAAAAAAAAATGCCTTTAAAATATATACATGTAGTTTTTGATGTATATTTACATGTTTGTCACATGGGTACTACCTAGCATAAAAAAGTTAGGAAATAGTTCTTTAAGACGTATGATTCTCTGATTTTTGCTCCTTTTTAAGATTAGGGCTCTATTTGTAATGTACACACACACACACACACACACACATATAAAACAATTCATAGATGTACATATATGATGTTTATAATGTGCAATTCCTTGACACTGAAGGTGGCTTGACTGAGCATAAGGTAGATGCAACATAGTGGTATGAGACAAAAGCTGGATGCGGCTGGATGGTTGAAAGGTGAACCAAATACAAAGTCATGAGACTTTTCCAGTGAACAGAACTCATAGCAGTTGAGCGTTGGCGGGTGGAAAGTCGCTCACCTTGTGCTGATCCATCTCTCCCCAGGCTACTTAATGCTGTTTTCTAATCAAACTCAGCCATCCTGCTGACTGTAAGATGAAGCTATACTAAAGGATGGGGAGGCATGTCTCATATTGGGTTCTTTGGGGCTGGGGGTGAGAGATCCAGTGTTTTTAAAAATAGACCATGACTTCCACTTGTTCATTTTGTCTACCTGTTTGCTATCAACTTCTAGGGGAGCTTCCAAGGGTCAGGTTAAAAAAGAAAAGTTGTACTCTTTCAGTTGTGGGGCTTTCTTTGAATGAAAACAGAAGTTTTCTTTTTTTTTTTTTTTGGTGAGGAAGATTGGCCCTGAGCTAACATCTGTTGTCAATCTTCCTCTTTTTGCTTGAGGAAGATTGTCACTGAGCTAACATCTGTGCCAATCTTCCTCTATTTTTGTATGTGGGACGCCGCCACAGCACGGCTTGATGAGCAGCATGTAGGTCCGCGCCCAGGATCTGAATCTGCAAACCCTGGGCTGCCAAAGCAGAGCATGCGAACTTAACCACTATGCCCCCAGGCTGGCCCCCAAAGGTTTTCTAATGAATGTGGAAAATGTGCAATGTATGGGTTTGCTCAGTGCCTAGTCTTCTTCTGATAGAGGTGGACTAGCTCTATCTGTCCTCAAATTTCTTACTGAGAATTCAGGTCAAATGCTTCCTGAGATCTAAGTTGATGTGATACATTTTGCAAAGCATGTGCTTCAATTACTGTGATACACCCCCAGCTGGAGGCTCCTCCCTAAAGAAAGGCAGCTGCCTTCATTTCCAGCACCCTGGGATGTCAAGGCAATGCACTGAAGTAATAACTTATTCATTGAAACCAGAAGAAATGACAGAGAAATTGAAGCTTCCCCAAACATGTAACTTATATCCAAGGAAAAGTCAGTCTTAGAAGAATCAGGTGCACTAATAGTTCATAATTGATCTTTATTTTGGCAGATTTTATATTAAAATGATGTTACTACTACTGATGACCATCATCGTAGTTACGTAATTATTTTAGCATTTAGCATAATGCATGATACATTGCATTACGTAGCACCTTTTAAACTAAGGATCTCAAAATATTTAGCAAATGCAATTTGCTCTCACAGCACTTGTGAGGTAGGTGTTTTTTTCCAGCCATTTGTAAATGAGCATATTGAAGCACAGCAAGGTTAAGGTGTCTGCTCACAAGATGCAGTAAGTATGATGGCATCAATAGGACCTGAACCCGGGCTTCCCCACCCTTCCTTCCCATGAACCTCAACCACAGAGCTTCCAGAACACTCCTAACAGCATTGCTGCTAGACGTACTTGGATATTTCAGATGTTAGAGAGAATTACATCTATTGGCTGTAGGGCTAAATCATTCGATAACATTGGTACCCATTAAAAGAGTTTCTCACGTGCTTTGCAAATGTGTGGGAGGGGCATCTTATACCACTGCTAAGCTTATGTTAATTATAATGCATATTTAAATTTGTATTTTCTCTGTGTGATTTATTGTTCTTCTGGCCTCCTACCAACTTATTTCTACACATATGCCTGCCTGAGCCAGAAAATGTAAAATGCGCTTAGCGACATGGCACGGAGGGAAGCAGGTGAGATTACATTTGGCAAAGTCTCCTTGGAGGCACCAAGTAATGTTTGTTCTGAAAGAGCAAAATAGAAAAAAAAAATTATCTTGTTTATTTTGTTAAGTAGCATTTTATATACATTCCACCCGCTGACCAGGTTTAATTCTTGGATGAGCAAGCAGAGTTATCTTCCAAACATACAGAATATTTGATTCTCAAGTTTAAATTTCCATTTATTTAACTGCAGCCTCCCTGCCAGGACTAAGTTCATTTCTTGGTGGAACCGCAAATACTGTACACATTACATGGCAATATATGCAAAAATTCAATGTAACGGCACACACAATATTAATAATCACATCCAGTGTGTTTTCCTGACTGTGCATTATTTCTGAATTGTTTTTGAAAAAGAGTTATTTACTTATTTATTTATTTTTGCAGAGACGATGTGAAGACATTACCGTGAGTTTCAGTTTCCCAGAACCAGATTTTTCTCTCAGATGCACAGTATGGAAATCCTAGCAGTTGTTAGGAAGTTGCTTTTTGGGATAAATGCAATTCCTTAGGACCTGAGAACGAAATCTGACCCTTCTAACTCAGGTATTGTTTCTATGACCAGAGCCTAACATTTGCAAATTGGTAATCCAAGAAAGGAACTAGGAGTGGGAAGAAAAAAACTTTTTACAAAACCCCTTCACCAGTTCATATCCATTGGTGATGCCTGTAAAATGCCAACACCCGCGGCCCCATTTCTTAAAAAAGGAAAGAAACATATTTACATTGGTAAAAATGCTAACATCTGAGATGTTTCTTGCTTGACATGTCATTCCAGATTCTGTGCATTTCTTCTGGAGAGATCTGATGCACGGTGATAACTCGGCGATACCTACACAAACTGTAGGCCATTTTCCAGTGATTGAAGCCACTGTTCTGGAAAGGATGTATGCCCAGTTTTCGAAGACATAGTCCCACATATACATCTTCAAGGTGAAGCAGCCTTGTGTGGAGTGAGGTCTTGTAAATGAGTTCCGCCACGTCGGCTGAAAAGATATAGCCAGTCCCCGAACAGAATGGTGGGTAATTACTGTCAGGGTACAAATCCCTGGGCATATACCACTTACTGCGGACGTCCCGGATTGGCCCTCCGTTGATGACGTAGCCAGTAAAATACCTTCTTCTTGGCTTGGTGGAGGGTTTTAGTAGTTTATAAATAAGGTTGTCCATGTTTACAAAAATGTCACTGTCTGTTTTCATGACATATTTGGCTTTTGAACAAAAAGTGGCCACCCATCTCATCCCCATTAATGTTTTGAGGGTAAGGTTATGGTAGGAGTCAATGAAGTCCTCCACGATAATGTCATGGAAGATTTGGCTCTCTTGCTCCACCATCTGATTCAGAACAGGATCAGCATTCTTGCCCAGGAGGAAGAGAGTGGCTATCTTGATCCCTTTAAAGTTGTTCTCATCCCCCCATGTCTCTCGGATTGCCTGGCGGGCATCGAACTCTTTGTGGGTGGTGCTGATGAGGATAACAAGAAAAGGAATATTTTTCTCACATTTGTTGGGTTCATTTATAAGAAATTCAAAAGAATGTGGGTTTATAGGTCGAGTTCTTATGTTGCCAAAGGTAAAGTTTTTCCTGGCAACTGTTAGGTGGCTGAATGGCTTGGAGCCAGTGTAGGAGGATGTAGGACGCGTTACACTCAAGTACCAGAGTGCGCTGGCCCAGCACACAACTGTCAAAACATATAAACAGGAGACCTTTGAAGCCATGGTCTTGAAAGCACGTCTATTCCAAATATTGAAGAATATGCCTGCTTGGCATTAGTTTCTTTTCATCTTGCAAAGGCAACATATTACTCACAAATCTTAAAGTTCGATAGAGAAATGTGAGTGCAGAATTGTCCATGGGTCTTAGTGGCAGTCTGGCATCTCCGCATTCACTCTACTTTCTTCCAAACCTGATGGAAGATTCCATGCCTCATAAGTCTTCCTTTTATCTCTGCAAAATCAATAAAGTACAGTTGTCGTTCAGATTTATTTAGTAATTTTACAACTTCAAATAAACAAAACAAGGGTATAAGAATTACCTGCAATGACTAAAATAAACATAATCATTCATTTCCATCAGTACTGAAAACTTCCTGACATAACCATCCTCTCTTTTCTCCCCTTAGTAGAAGTTGTTAATGTATATTCATGCCCAATTAAGAAGTATACCGATTATAAACTATAAGTGAATATGAAATAAATTGAACATTAGTAATTTTAAAAAGTTTCCCCTTCTCTACAAGAACGCTTCTTTGCAATTAAACACTTTCTGACACTAAAGTCTTCTTTCAAGCAGGAAAGTCTCATATATGGCCTCATATCTCTTTTCCATTTTTCCAAGTCTGAGTTTTTGTTTGCTTGACTGAGGAAGTAATCAGTTCTCAACAGCTCTTTGCTTTCTCTAGCCCTGTATTTGAAAACGTGTGGATTACCACGGGAAAATCTCTGCTAAAATTGTCTCTCTTGGCTCTGTCTTAGAAGTAATTCCCAACTTTTCTTCACTTTTTCCTCGCTTTGGCTCTCACAAATGTTAATTTTTGAATCTCAGTTTTCTATGAGGCTTCATATGGAGAATATCGTTACCCTTGAGGCATGGAGACCATCCCAGAGTGCCCTTTCAGACAGCTGGCAGCATTCATTTTGGAATTGATCTAAATGGTATCACTTTTTATGGCTTTCAACATCCCTTGATGAAATTATACTGTCCCCTTTTAATTCCTTTTACTTAGTTACCCTTGCCTATAACATAGCAGGAGTATAATAAGAGAGTTGGGGGCCATAAATTCAATGAAGATGTGACACAGCACTTTAATTGGTGTTCAAGTTAAAAAGTTGTCCTTTGGAACCCAATCCTTTCTGGAACTTCAGCTGCTATCATGTTAGTTAAATATATATGCCAGGTTACAAAATCCGTTCATGGAAAAATTGTCTCTTCCTTTCTAGTTACAGCAAAATATGGTAGTTGTGGAAGACAGAGATAGCAGGTAATGTATATCAGTCTCAATAAAGTCTGCTTCAAAGAAAACTATGTGCTTAAATGTACCAACTGTGTTGAAAGAATTTAACTGAGATTATAGATTGAAAATCATGCTTCTAAGGAAAATAGTCATAATGAAATGAAAAGACATGATGGGCAACAGCAGAGACAATACACATTGTCTTGTCTAAGCCAAGAGCTGACTGTGACTATATGATCTATATGAGACTGGCAATAACTCACTGTGGTTGCAGTTCTAACTAACTGATTAGAATGGCTTCAAGTAGCATGACTCTAGGCATAGTCAGGCTTCGTCCAACCCATAATGTGTCCTCTCCTAATATAGTCTGCAGTGTCCTTGGCCTCCTGGAGGAAATTTCTGCTCTAAGGTGCACCAAAGCCAACAAAAAGAAGAATGTGATGTGCAGCGAGCTTTGATACTTTAAACAATAAGCAAAAGGAAGTGAGAAAAACCAGCAATAGAGATTTAGAAGAGCGCTTCTCAATTTAGGATTTACAGACATCGACTTCATTTGAATTCCAAAGGAATGTGAGTGACTCTCATCATCTTATAGCCCTTGTCACCTTTCATACTGTCCTACTAAATTGTGAGCCGCCTATTACTAAGCTGTTAAGGGACTCCAAAAAAGCTTCACCTGGAAAAGGCTCCAAGTTGCCTTCTGGAACCACTAAGCAGGCTATTAATGAAGGATTAACGGTGTATGCAAAGTATTGGAAAAACAGAACTAGAACCTTCAGGAACTCAAAGTCTAGAAGGAAAGACTTCAAGTAAATGATTAAAACAGTGGGATAAAAATTTTCATCATGAGGCTGTTGGAATACCTAGGAGAGGTGGGCTGGTGAAGTGGGTGTGGGAGAACCAGGTACAGTCTTGCAGACTGTGCACGGTACAGCTCCAAAGTGCACCATTCCACAGACTGCAGTGTGAATCCCCCTCCTCCATTCCATCCTGCAGTCAAACAATGAGGTTGCCTTGGGGAGGATGCCATGGAAAGTTCGGAAAAGTTATCTAAGCTGAATCTTCAAGGACAACTAGGAATTATCCGGGTGAGGGTTGGACATTCTAGGCAGAGGGAACAGCATATGCAAAGGCATAAAATGAAAGAGCATGGTGTGTACTAGGACTGCAAATAGTGGAGTAAAGGAAGAGGACAGGGTGATGGGGAGGACGGCGGGGGTGGTGAGATTTGGGGCTATTGAGGTAGCAGGGGTCAGATGGAGAGTGGCTCTCAGAAACTGTTCTGATCTGAGCAGCTAGTTATCCATCTTTGCAGTCCAAACAGCGTAAGGGAGGATTTTACCTTCCCCAAATCCTGTCCACTGTTTCCAATAGCAATTCATTCTTCCATATTAAGGATTTACTTCTCCCACAGTTCTATGCCCCAAAAGAATAAATGAAAATTTGTTTATCTGATGCCTTTCTGTATGATTTTCTGGGGAAAGGGACTTCATAAACACAGGTATCTGGGAAATTTATAAAGAGCTAAAAGAGGAAGAAATAGATCTAGATGAGAGTATGAATAAAGTATGTATTTACAAAAACACTTTTCATAGAAGAATGAGTATTCTTCCCTAGACAGCTAACAAACATAATACTTCTTACCATTGTTACTATAGGTCTCATTTTAAAATACATATAGTACACCAGGCACTGTGCTGTGTGCTGTAGTCTATGCCATGTATTTTATAGAGCTTCATTCCATATGGTGTTACAAGAGAGGTATTTTTGCCATTTTACAGATGAGATAATGGAACTCAAAAATATTAAGTAGCTTGCTGAAGATGACTCAGCTAATGAGTGACTAGGTTAGTAGTCATCCCACAGCTAATGAGTGACTAGGTTAGTAGTCATCCCAGGATTCCTAAGGCCTGTTAGGACAACAGGCACCGTCTTGCATGGGAAAGCCCAGGGTGGCAGGGAGCATCTCAGGCTGCTATTCTCCCAGGGATCCAGATGTTTATTTTCTTAGATATGCATCCACTGCTTGAATTTTTTTCTAGTTCATTGTTGTTTGCTACACACCACACTACACTAGTTCTGTGCGGATCCTTGATCAACAAAAAATGGTGATTGGCAAAGAGCACATTAAAGCTTGAAGATGCTGGGGTTGGGGGGAGAGCTATAACTGTTGTGGTTCAGAAACACTTTGCAGTTCCCTTTCTCTGAAGTCCTGAAACACACACACACACACACACACACACACACTTACACACTCACACACACATTCAGACTGAAATATACTGAAAATACACATATACTGAAAGAATCACTCTATTGACCTTTTTTTCATACATGAGAACAGAAGTAGGCACAGTATTACATGTTGGTCACTAGTAAATGCAAATTATCACCAATAAAAACAGAGGATTTGAAATGGGCAAAAGAACCACCTTAGAATCTGAAAAGCGGCCGAGGATGATGTGCACCTACAGCAAGGGGTGCTAAAAATGTCCTCTTTGCTTACAACCAGACAGATTTCTTGGGTGGCCAAACAAGCACAAAAATATGCCTCTGGACCAGAAATCGTAATATAAGTAAAGACAAGAGAGAGCAGCATGATGCATTTAACTCTAAAGAGTAATTTCAAGTATGCTGGATGAAGTAGTCGATTACGGGCCAAATGTCCACGTTTTCTCCTTGAGTCGGCCTAACTTGCCATGTGGCCTTCTGTGCCTCAGTAACCTTAAGGATAAACTAAGGGCAAAAATAACATCTGCTGTATCTCCAAATATATTATAGGTATTAATTGTCATCACCAATTGTTTGAGTTGCTGGGGAAAGGGTGCTAAAAAGGCAAGTGGTATTTTGATAAAAAGAGTAGGTTCTAATGGGGATGAAGGGATTATATGAGGAGTTCATCAGTTCATGATTCAGGATCCAGAGCACATATATTGATTGATTCTTCTAAATATATAGGATTGCTCTCAGTTTTTTGGTTTAGTGGCTACACTGTACAGACTTTCTGCTAGAGAATTCTGTTTTCTTCCTAGAAAACTCAAAGCCGAAGGTCCACTGAAAAGCAAAGAAAATAAGTTAGCTGCAAGTTCTGGAGAAGGAGCTGAATGTCACAAAGCAGAATCCTCTGGAGGGTTCTTTCAGTTTTACAAGATTAAAAAAAAGAAAAATCTTGTTTAACAGACACTTTAATGTATCAGTAAAATAGGAGTTGCACTTACAACATTTGTCATTCCTTTTAGCAGCCCTACCACAACCACAGACACTGATGACACATTAACTTGTCATCCATTAGATACAAATCCCTCCAAAATAGAAACATTCAACTAGAACACTTGAAAGATTTTTCCCCCAGGGCCCTTACTGTATTTCCTCATTCACAGACTCCTTCAGTAACTAGCTACTTTCAACTTCAGGAAGTTAACAGGGCAGAATTTTCAATTTAAGAAGCACGTGTTTCTCTTAGAAATTGCATGGTAGGTAGTCTGTTATTAAGAGTAATTTATTTAAAAAAAAAAAAAGCCCCTAAATTTGCTAAAGTTTTTCTGTTGTGTGGCAGAGGTAAGTTCTAGGAGCAAGTGGGTAGTGTCTCTTGGGTGACCTGTGCGCAGTTTGGGGTACCAAGTTCATGTCCTTCTCCATCACAGTTCAGGCAGGTACAAGTCTACATGGATTTCCTAGGCCTTGGTTGCCACTGAGTTGGCTTGGCAATCATTCCAACTTCCCTACACCCATGGGCAAGGCTGCAGGGGCTCCAGCAAGTGGTCAGCTCCCACTCCCTGGTGTTGCAAGGATATAATGTCTCCAAGTTCTGACTTCCCTTGGATTTTCAAATCTACTTCATTTGTTCATCAAAGAGGCACTGAACACCTGTTAGATGCCAGGCCTGTTCTACAAGTTGGTAAGACAGATGGGGAGCTCGCTTTCTGGGAGAGGGAGGCTGAAAATAAACATATCATAAAGGAATGCAAAAATAGTTTCAGGTAGTGATAAGTGC